CCTGGGGACCAGAAGATCTGTCTCAATTCCATTGTGTAGGTACCAGGTGACCATGAAAAAGGTCTTTAATCTCTCTGGGCCTCAAATGAAGATAAAAAGCCCACCTAATGTAGTCATTTGGAGGATGAAATACAGAAAATGTTCAGATTAATGTTAAGGCAAGTGGATCTAAGCGAAAAGTAAGTCATGACTGTTTTGTGAAGAGCTACTGAGGGTTTGCCACTGCGGCCCTCTGAAAAGGAGAATGAGATACTGACATGATCAGAGTTCTCTCTAAAGCTCAGTATGGAAGCAGATATAAGAAGAAAGACCAGAAATGAATTAAAACTCCTTTAAAACTTGTTAAACATAATGAGAGTGCAAATTTTAGTTCTAACAGTTGAACTTAAAGAGATGGAGTTCAAAAACAGTATAGAAGTCAACAAAGATTTCACAATTTGGTTGTAAAATGAAGAAAAAGAAAACCCCCAAAGATTTTAAATCCTTAATCCTAAAATAATGGGGGAAAAAAGATATACCACCATCAATAAAAGAAAATTTTGAGGAAGTAGAGTCCTTTTCAGGGAGAGGACTTTCCCTAAGATACATTGGATCATGAGTTCAATTTGGATATGTTGATTTTAAAGAGTTGACAAGCCATTCTGGTAGGTTGATCCTGCAAGCTGTTGGATATTTGCACCTCAGGCAAAAAGTAGTGGCAAATTAAAGTCTGTAGTAAAGAGAATAATGAACCTTCATAATTGGTCACACAGGGTTGAGGATGAGGAAGGGAATCAGAAAACACAACTCCTTTTAGAAGCTGGAAATGGCAAGGACAGGGATAATCTCTGTTTAACATCTCCACAAAAAAGAACAGTTGATATTATCCTACTGAGACTCAGGTTAGACTTCTAACTTACAAAGCTGTAAAATTACATATCTATGAATATAATTTATATGTAAATAATGTATATTAAATATATGTAATTTAAGCCATGAAATCTATGGTAGTTTGTTATAGCAGCAAAGTAAAAAGCAATGCATGCTGAATTTAAGACTACTCAGGATGGAGATAATGATGGGAAGCATTGTGAGTCCCAGCCCTTCCTGATAGTGGCTTGTAAAATACATACAACAAAGCAGGAGCTGTTGTAAACTCTGGGAATGCGTGCATAGAGCTCTTACTCTTGGAATAGATTACTGGAACATAAAAAATCACTTCATTTGCTCCTTAGCATCTTAACCTTGCAAGGAGGAAGTCATCATGAACTATCTTAATTTATTTCAGGGTTACGTTTTTATCCCCACTTAAGCCATCAGGTATCAATCTCAGCAGTGCAAGATAAAGAATTCCAAGTCCCTCACTAAGAGGAGAAGAAATTCATCAAACTTAGATATCTTCGGCAACCAGTGAAAGAATAGAAACCTAAAATATAGAAAACTTCATGCTTCTTTTATCTAGAAAAATATATTCTGCTTTCTGGAAATATTCAGCTAATATCTCATGACACTCACTATAGACTGCACATTTTATTTTGAGCTCTCAAGTGTTGGTCCAGTGTGCAGAAGGAGGTATAGGATTGTGTCTGCATCTCAGTAAATGCTGCCTCTCTATTGAGTCAGCCTCACTGGGGGAAGTTCTCGCAGCACTGCTGCTCTCTGCCTAGATCTCCTGTAAACCTCCCCCCTCTTCAAACATTCCTTTTTTGTACATCCTAGATATTTTCTTTCCCACAGTACCACATAAAGTTATGTGAAAATAACACATTATAGATATATATGTATGTTAGATATTCATATATATGATTATAAATATATGTATTTGTATTTATATATAACATATAAATCATATATGATATGTTATATAATATATATATGTGTGTTTTATATATATATTTAACTTTTCAATGTTATAAACCGAAGTGCAAGAACACAAATTAATTTATGGCAGTTCCTTTTATTAGGAAATCCTTTCTTAGGTTTATTTTCTTATTTCTACATCAACACATTTCTGCTTTTTAAAAAAATGTTGGTACCAGGGATCAAACTCAGGACCTTTCATATGCAAGGCAGGCAGCAGCACCACTGAGCTAAATCCCCGGCCCTCAACACATTTCTCCTTTTCAAATAAACTCACGATAAATACCATGCCATTTTAGCTACTCTCCTACCCAGGACATTTCCAATGCCCAGTCCTACCCATGCTCTGGTGGAATTGAGAGGAAGTCTAAGTTATATGGGCCATATAGTCATTCTTCAATTTAAAGTGGTTCAACCCATGACTTTTAGACTTTTTACTGCTCCATGGACCTTACATTCCATAGAAACCATATCTTAAATGTTGAATACAGTTATTTCTCCAGGATAGTGACATGGGTACCATCCTCTCTCATGATGCTGGGTGGTACCAGTGAGCTGCAGTTCCTAGTCAGCTAAGCAATCATGAGAGAAAACTGTACTGTGCTGCTGAACTATAGTGTTCAATGCATTAGGTGTGTTAAGTGCATTTCTGACTCAGGATATTTTCAATATACGATAGGTTTATCAGGATGTAACCCTGCTGTAAACTAAGGAGCATCTGTACTAATGCCAGGAAAGGTGGTGGAAAGAGAGGGACATCCAAATTGTGAGCAGAACAGTCCAGCATGCTACATTAAAAGTGCAGAATAAGAACTCTTTCTGCTTATTCAGTGGATAAATATAGAACAAAACATAAAAAAATGTTAGTTGCATACAACAAATGTCAATTCTCAGTGACTGTGTAATGTAGGTGTAGATCTACAAAAATAATATCTTTTTCAAATGCCGTGGATATACTTAGGCTCATCTTCACAATAAGAACCATAGTTTAGCTATATTATCATGCAAAGAACTCCCAGTGCCTTCCAGTTCCCATAGGCACACACCTCCTTCCCTCATCTGCTCTGTAAATTTTCTGAGTTGGAGGCTGGGCTCTGGAATCTACGAGTGTCAGAATGTGCCTGCTGGTACTTAAATAAATGAGATAAAATGTTTGAAAGTAACATTTTTTCCTTTCTTAGACTATTTAAATTCCTAGTTAACAATCCCACTCCCACCTGTCTTTAGGAGGATGTTATGGTTTATAAATAGATGCCCCTCCAAAGCCACATGCTCCCATAGGTAGGGCTTTTAAGAGATGATTGGGTTATGAGGCTGTGATGCTTATCAGTGGATTAGTCCACTGATTAGTTTACAGGTAAATGTGCCGTTGGGAGGTGAAGTCTGGTCGGAAGAGATGGTTCACTGGGGCATGGCTTGGCAGGGTCTCTCTCCCTCCCTTCTCCCTTGATTTCTCTGCTACCTGCTGCCATGCCAAGAGCTGTTTCTCCTCTGCTAGGCCACCCTGCTGACTACCTACTGAAAGCTCTACAAAGTGTGAGCCAAAATAAACTTCTTTTCCTTTACTTTGTGGGTGTCGAGTATTCTCTCCCAGCAACAAGGAAAGTAAGACAGTGAACATAGTACAAAAATCTCTCAAATTTCATGAGTGAAATATTTCAGATATATTCACCATCCTGACACACTTCTGGTGTGTAATTTGTTTATTCTCTGAAATTTTTACATGAATTAGACAGGAAGGAGGGAGAATTGTGCAGGAAACACAAGGAAGGTGTTGAAAGGCTGCTTTCCAGGGCTTTATTATCCTTATTGGAACTCTTTGTGACCCTCAGTGAAGGATGGATTCTATTAAAAAGTGTTTTTTTCCCCTCTTCTCTGGACTAAATGAGCTATGGTTTCAGTTCACTTGGCCAATACCGCTGTAAGTATATGAGAGGTAACTGATGCCTGGTATAAATACTAATAAGCCATGGTAAAACTGACAGCTTTAATGTAACAAATTCCATGCAGCAGCCACCTTGTAGAACTCTAGTTCTGAGTATAGAACATCTGGAGCTACTCTTTAATTGGTGGGTATAATAGTTGCACAGCTGTTTGTAACACTTCTAGTTCTGTTAATCATGGCCACACTGATGCTTATTTAGGAGGCACACTAGAAGGGCTCATGTCTTGAGTATCGAGAGTTGTTGACTCAGAAAGTCACACTGTTTATTTCTTTGCTTTGCATCATATAAAACTCAAATGCTTATGAAAAGAATAAAGTAAATGAAAAGTTTCAATTTGTCACTCTGTAGGCTTGTTTGGCTCAGAGACATTAACAGATTGTTTCCTGAAATGTACAACCAACCCACTCAAGAGGGAAGTATATCACAGTATCGCAGGAAATCCTCTCACTATAGAAATATGGGGGGGGGGAAGAGTGTTGCTTACCTTCTTTAAAAAATAATATCCATCTGAGCATCCCTGAAGAACTGAGTGGAAACCATGATACAGAAGACAATAAGTAAATTCTATAGAAAAGACTAGAATCTCCATGCTCTGGACAAGAGAGAAAACATGTCTCCTTCCTTGTTGCAAAATGCATTATCTGTGTTCTAAAAACATTGGAAAAGCTTTAGAGATAGAGACACATTTCTTCGGTCACCATCTTTGAGATCATGGGGAAAACTTTGCCGTCATAAGCCTTAATTTTCTCATCAGTAAAATGAAAGAATTGGATTAGGTAGTTTCCAAAGTCTCTTCTATCTCTCTTGCACCTTGTTCAGACCTAGAACTTCATTACTCTCCCCGAAAAAACACAAAATTCTGGAAATCAGGGCTCTACCACAGAAGAATAATGAAGAAAACTTCTAAAACATTGTATGTCAATCAGGACCCAGAGAATATTCAGTTCACTTTAGACTAGGAAAGAGAAAGCCTCTAATAAGCAGTCTCCATACAAACCATTAACTAATAGTTGGAGTGAAGAGAAATTATTGATAGACACTGGAGAAACCTATTGAAACATATGGCGAAGAACATACTAGATACCTTCAAGAGAAAGCAAACAAAAAAATACATTGATGGTGATTAAGCCTAACAGTGTCAATCTGATTGGCTTAGGAGCTGCCTAGGGGATTCATAGAGCACATGTCTGGGTGTGAATGGTGGGTTATGCAGGAGTGACCTTGAGGACTATGTATACGGCCCATGGTCCAGTTTTATTCTCACTATTCCCCCGCTCTGCTTCCTAGTCACAATGACCTAAGGAACTTTGCTCTGCCACACCTTTCTACTGTAATATTTCTGCCTTGGAGCCAGCTGAACATGGACTGGATCCTCTGAAACTGTGAGCTAAATAAACCATTTTTTTCTTTGATTTATAAGTGTTGGGTTTGGGGCCCCGACCAGGGGAAAATGACTAATTCAGAAAAATTTTACTTTGGAAGTGGGTTGTTGCTGTGTCTGTACCTGACCATGTGATTTAGAAGTCTGGAACTGGTTTGCAGAAGTTTAGAAAGGTTTGAAGGTGTGGGCTAAAGAAGCCATAGAATATTATAAGCAGAGCCTAAAAGGTAATTCTTACTACAGCTCAGAAAATTAGAATAGTGATAAAAATATGGACAATTAAGGTCAGACCCAGGAAGTTTTAGTGGAGAATAAGAAATTCATGGACTAAAGTCCATGGATATTACATTCTGGCAAAAAAAAATTATCTGTATTTTGCCCATGCTCCGAGACTTTCCAGGAGACTGAGATTAAAGGCAGTTGACTGATTTATCTGGTAGAGAAAATTACAAGGCAGCTCAACATTTAGGGTGTGGTATGTGTACTGCTGGCTGATTTTAGCTAGATTTATATTGAGAATTGAGGGCAAAATGAAGAGAATACATATTTGAAAATTTTAAATTTTGACCAGAAAGAAACTGGGTAAAAAGTTGAGGCCAAACAAAGTATGGTTGCTGAAGAGATTAGTGTCATTAAAAAGACACCAAGTGTTTTCTACAGGAACAAAAAGAAAGGTGCTGATTCTAGAGAACCAGTAAGATACCACGCATTACAGGCACAAGTGTGAAAAAATGTCAACCTTTCACTGGAGAAGGCTCTGTAGGGCCCCTCATTGAGAAGAACATCCTAGAGGATTGGTTTCCCGGGATGCATTTTTTTGTGTTCAGTGATCTAGGTACTCAGAAGCTGTTGCTACCATGGTCCAAGAGGACCTGACTGTTACTGTTTGCTGATTTTACCAAAGGTGCAGTGGAATCCCCTCCAAGTTAGAGATGCCAGGAATGTGCAACATCTGGTGAGGAAACCCTAAAGCAGTGAGTAGAGCCCACGCAAGAGTGAGGACTTATGAGCTGCAAACAGTGAGGCCATAGGAATGGGGCTACCAGGCCCATTGGAACTCATACCTTACCATCATATGCCCAAGATGTCAGACTTGGAGTTACAGGACTTTGTGTTTGTTCTGCTGGATTTTAATTTTCCTTCTGTCTGATTATTTTTTATCTTCCCATGAAGTGGTAATGTTTACCCTGTACCATTGAACCTTGGGATTATGTAACTTGTTCTTTATTTTTACAGTCTTACAGCAAAGAGTTTCCATTCAATTTCAGAAGAGAATTTGACTTGAACTTTTGAAAATTGATGGAACTATGGAGACTTTGGAGAAGAGATTATTCATTCTTAGCTATGTGTGGGAGACTTGTAACATGTTAGATGTATTATTATTATTGTGTGTATTTGGAGATGAAATATGGTTTAAGGAGATGTGTTTAGGTGTCAACTTGACAAAAGTCAGAATGTGGTTGTTAAGCTTAACTGTGCCAACTTGATTGGCTTGGAAACCACCTGGAGGAATGGTAACACACACTTTTGGGTAAGTGGCGGGTGTGTGACCTTGGGTACTATCTCCAGTCCCTGGTCTCTTACTCTCTCATGCTATTCCTCTCCTTTGCTTCTGGACCACCATGAACTAAGTAGGTACACTCTGCCACAGTCTTCTGCCATGAGGTTTCTGTCTTGGAGCCAGCTGAACATAAAATGAAACTTCTGAAATCCTGAGCCAAATAAACAATTTCTTCCTTTAAGTTGTGGGTGACAGATATTTGCTATTTTCTGGGGCAAGGAGAAAGTGACTAATGAAAAAGAGAATATTTTGTAGCATGCTTTTTGGCTCACCTCAAAAAAATTCGTAATAATATAGCCACTGAGTTTTGACATACTAAAAAAAAATAAAATAAAAGCAAAAAGAACCATATTGGAAAAATAAGAAAGGGAAGATTAGGGTAGAGGTGAATGATGGATCAAAATATTTATCAGCATTTCCTCAGCTAGAATAAAATTTGTGAATAATATCAAATTGATCATGTCTAAAACTGATAAGATGTTACTGCTCTAAGTACACTATTTAGGTACAAATAAAGGTAAACAAGAAAAAACAGCAAAATTAAAGTAGCAAAAAATCAATTGGTTTGGGAAGTTGAGTTATAAAATAGGGCAGGGAAATGTGATTAGCTATAAACTTTTTAAGTGGTTTGTCTTTTAGATTTACTTTATGATTTACTTCAAAAAAAACCATGATTTAATCTGAAAGTAAATAAAACTTTCCCTCCAGGTTTCAATAACGTTCAGAGGTTGGAGGCTTCAAGATATTAAGGAATGGTTTTGGAATTTGATATTTTGGGGAACAAAAGTTCAGAGAAATTAGGTCTCTTTTATTTTGCTTTTCTAGGAATGATTCATCTCTTCCCTATACTTTTGCACCCACTCAAACTGCATGGATGGAATTCATCTTTTTTTCCTCTCTTTAAACCTACTTAAATTTTTTCTCCATTAAAAAAATAGTAAAAAATATGTAATTGTAAAGCTTTTCTTGGTTTAACCTCTCCAGTTTGGTACTGTTTTACATAGTTGTGGCACTATGAAATTTGCAAAATTCATTTCATTATATATTATTGCATTTCTTCTTCATTTTAAGCAGTGAGTTTCTATTCAGGATCAGATAGCTTAACTAAAATTGATGTGAAAAGTGTCAACCATATAGACAGAATTGCTGGTGTCATAGAGCTTCCTGTTTTCTGGGGAAGACAAACACAGAGAGCACGTGTCAAAGATATTTGTTCTGCCTGTGGTTGTTCAACTTTGTGAATGAGAGAAAAAAGTATAAATTCAAACTTCCATGTTGGGATTTCTCTGATTTGGTAAGAAATATGTTGCATTTCAAGCTATATACCATCGTAATGGTATGATTTATTAATCTTATATTCTAAGTCCTATAATGTAGAGAGAATTAATCTTCTTTTCCCTGCTCTTTTCATCTCAACTCTTACTCTCAAACAATACAGGCAACAGTCTGCGAAGCTGCCGCTTCTTCTCTGACCTACAGAAATGGCCGCGGGTAGATACAATATAAGTGTCTATGGATTCTTCACAGATGGGAGGTCAGTTTTACTTCATTTCCAACTGATGATACCTTGTTGGCATCCTGAGATTTAACCCTGTGCTTATTTTCTTTTCCTGTGAAGATGAGAGCATTGCAGCCATTCTATGGTGCAGGAAGAGACCTGAGTGTCACTTTCCCTGAAATGCCCACTACCCTAAAAGGAAGTGCATGTGGTTCATTGAGCTGGAAGTTGAACTCAGATGTTCACACTCCAAAACCTGAATTGTTTGCATTCTTCTGTGCAGCCTCATTTTATCACTCATTCCTCGACTGTCAGTCTTTAAGGACAGTGAAAAGGTCTGGATGTATCTCTGTATCTCCATGATGCACAGTACTGTGCAGATACTGTAGCTGCTCAATAAATGTTTGTTGAAATGAAATACTCAACACAGCCTTCTTATGAGAGTACTCCCTCTGAATTAAAACTACAACTATTTCTCTCTACTCTATTGCCTCAAATATAGAAATATAGAAAATATAGAAATAAAGAAAATGTGATTTTTAAATAAAATGGAGTACTATTCAGCCATAAAAATTGAGAAATTAGAGACATTTATAGCTAAGTGGATGCACATTGAGGCGATACTCTTAAGTCAAATAAATAGGACACACATGTATAAATACCAAATAGCTTCTCTGGTGTGAGATACTGAAAGTGTAAATAAGGTCTAAAATGTACAACAGGTAATGTGAAATAGGAAGAAAAGGGGCAAAGGGGAAGGAAGTGGGAGGG